CGCGTCTGCCCCGCCGCCTCGGGCGCAGCCGGTGACCCGCCCCCCCTCCCCGTGGCTCCGGCCTGCTGGGAGCTGAGCCCCATCCCTTGCCTCCGCCCGGCCTGGCAGCAGCAGCATCTCCTCCGGCTGCTCTGGCAAGACGCGCCTGTCTCCATCTCCCCTGCCTCCTACCCTGTCGAACTCGGCGCCCCCCTTTCATTGCCTCCTGGGGTGCGGTCCTAGCCGGCAGACCAGCTTTTGCTGATGATCGACACATTTCGATAGGTGTCACTTTCCCTGGCTGTCTAATCAAGGTTCAATCCTAGCCCGTTACCAGCTTCTAGTAAGGAACCTGTGGGAAAAGAAAACATCTGAGATGAGGCTAACAATACCCTGCCACCTCCTGTGGAGTGGACACGTGTGAGTGGATGGAGGGAATCGCGACCGAGGTGCACTGACGGGTGCAGTTGTGTTGGGTAGCATCAGTGGGAGTTCAGATGTCTAGATGCGGTCCCGAATCTCACACGCACAGAGTCCCTCTCAGGGAGCAGCAGTGACATGCTGCTTGTTTCTCGTAGGCCTCAGGTTTGTCTTTTAGGCCTTCTCTGTGCTTGTAAAACGAGCCCTTGGCTCGGTGCTGTGAGACGGGTGCAGGGAAGAGAGCGCTGGATGGGAACTGAGGACACGTGGGTCTCGATTCCACACAGGTTTTTTAAACCCCTTGATGGTAGCCACAGTGGGGTTTGCTCCACAGTGCTTTTACCAGGGATTATTTTCCTGATGGGTGCAGCTGTCATAACTTGACAGTACCAATTTAACCAAATAAATCATAACTATCTTCAGTGAGTCATCCTAGCCTGATCCCAGCCGACTTTCAGCGAGCAGGTATCCTCCTCTCTCGCTTCCATTCTCCTGCATTCATGTCTGCAGTTCAGGAATCTGTCCCAGCAGACATCTGTGTGGCTGTTCTCAACGTGGCTAATAAGCTCATGTGGTGTGTCCTGCAAAATGTGGCTATATGCTGGTACCTGACCTTACTCATCCGCAGCTAGCTTGGTATCTCTGCACAGGATGACATTGTGCCTTGCAGATATAGCCGTAGCTTGAAGTTGTGCATTAAGCTGAATCCCTGCTTCCTTGTCACAAGGGATAGTGTCATACCTCTCTGGGGACTGAGGTGTAGGATTGCCAGACCACGTAGGTTTGTCTTTGGTTGTAAATCCAAGTAAGAATGGCTTCCCCTATGACTTACAAGGCTGGAAGGTCTCTGTGACACTGTCCTGAACTTTGTTTTGTAAGGAATAAGACACTGCAGGACAGCTGTGAGGTTCTGCTCTGAAGATGTGGCTAGAACAAGCCCAAGCAGCAGGTGTCCCAGATGTCTCCAAGTGAGATGGTGTTTGTACAGTGGGCCTACTCCTACTCCAGAGAGACCTGTTGTAACTAAAGAAATCAGCCTTTTTTCAAGAAGAGCCTTTCCAAGTACCATTCTGTATCACTAGGAATAAAAACAATAAATAGATTTTATTGTAACTTAATTTTTAAATTTTAAATGAGAAATCTATTTGAACTGATTTTTAAATAGATCTGCTAAAAGTCTGACAACCTATTTTAAGGCCTGGTTTTATAACAAACTCATTCTTCTCTCCCCCCACCCTCACACTTAAGAGTTGATATGTGGGAGTGTGTATTTACTGCCAAAATTTTTAATAAATCAAACCACTGGAGTAACCACCTGCAACCAGATATTGTGAAATACTAACAGTCCTGACAGCAGTAGTTTTTCCTGTAGATTCAGGGAAGCTATTTTCCTCATTTCAGCTTATTCAACTAGTTGAGTGCAAGATCTACTAGTTCTAAAATTCTAAAGCCATGGTGACCAGAAACACTCAGTTCAGTTCATGAGCTCCAGAAAGTTTATCCGTTTATTTGTACAATACATTTGTTTTAAAAGAAAGCGTTGCTTGATGCATGCTATTTTTGGATAGCCAGTACATTTAAAATTTTTAACTCAAAAATAATTTTATTTTTTATACACTTATTGGCATTCCAATTCCCATCCAAATAGAGTTTGATAAAGGGCATACTCAGTTGCGGTTAATGTACCGTGAGGCTTTCCAGCCTCAAGAATCATTCCCAAGTAGGGCCTGAGAGCCAGATGTGGCACACCAGCCAGCACTGCTTCTTTGAGATGACCTTTAGGGGGTGAATCTTTGGGGACCCCCCAAACTGGAGTTTAGAGTTGCAAAACAAGAGTCAAACTCTTTTTTGTTTTGTTTTTTTTTAATCAAGGTTTCCAGCTTGGTGATATAAATGGACAATTTTAATCAACTTTCTCTGATTACTCCACTCTGTCATTTACAAGATATTTGAGCTTTCTTTGTTCAGAAATAGTTATCTAAGTACCTGCAGTCATCTCTTTAGGCTCCCTTCTGCATCCAAGCAGCCAAGATTCCTGTAGAATCGCTTCTGTTCACTTGAGTTTTTGGTCAAGAGCCAAGTTGCCCAATACTAGGGGTATTTCTGAACCTTGTAATCCCTGCTTGGGACAGGCGTTGGGTCTTGGAGACCTCAAGACCTACAGCCAGGGCAGTCTGGAGGACAAAGGTTAAATAACCCTGAGGAAATGGTACTTTTCAAAATAAATATCAGTTATTAGGTTTTGAAACCCAGTTCCCCTCTGTAGGCGGCTGCTGCTGCTGCTCTTTGCTAAGCATGTACCAGCCAACCCTTGTGCCTCCTCTCTTTACCCCTGCAAAGACAGCTGTGTGACCTGGGGCAGAGACAAGCACAATCCTCTCTGAACCCCATTAGGGAACTAACTGCAGTCTAATTTCCTTTCTGGCACTCTGAAACTACAGTGACAGGCATCATGGAAACCTCTGAGAGAGTGCGGGGAAGGGGAGACACTGGTACTTGCTACAGCCCCCACCACCACACGCTGCATTCTCCTACAAGGCCTAGCATGTTAGTTGCTGTTGGTGTCTGGCATCAGGGAACCAGTGTTGATCAGGTCTTGACCTGCAGTTGCAGCTAACATCAGATATCCCTTCATCCCAGTAGCCTCCTTCCTTTGCTTTCTGTGGCCCTTCTCCCAGGACTGCCGTGACTTCTCCCAAGCTATTATTCCCAATTCAATACAATTCACAGCCTGCAGGGACCATTTTGGTCATCTGGGCTCACCTCTCCATGATATAAGCCAGAGAAGGTCAGCCAGTGATTCATGTATCAAGAACAATAACCTATGGTGGAGCAGCGGACAGATAACACGTCTGCCTCTGTGATTCATTTAGGTAACTTGCTTAGCATCGTCAGATTCTAACCCCATTTAATACACGGCCAGTCTTCTTCATTGTGGAGATACTTTCCAGATGAATGTCATCAATATAGCACTGTCTGCCTGGGTCTGGCCACAGCTTGGAAAGCTACTCACAGTTGTGAATTCCTGCCAGCTCCTCTTATCTTATGGTTGTTAGCCCTAAAGCTTAATGATGCTTTAAACGTTAGCATAAGAATGACTTTCTGGCTGGCTTCCTTCTAAAGCTACTTTCCCCAAGCTTTCATAGTGTAGGGGGAGGGGGAGTCCTGCCTTGATGAGTTTTCGGTCTGGGGTTGATAGGTGACAGTTCAACGTGGGTCCCATTTATTTATATATTAAGCTGACTTCACTCTCCTCTCATAACCTTTCACTGCAGCCAACTGTAGTAAGAGACTGTGCACACTTGTCTGGAGCTCTTTACTCACTAGTCCCAGTGGGTTATTGCTCTGAGATGAGTGCTGTTGTGGCCTGCCTCAGTCAGGAAAACTCACCGGAATAAAACTCCCTGCTCCTTATCAGGTCTCTGTGGGTGGAGCAAAATGCTAACAGGCCAGCATGAGAGGGCTCTTTGCAACCCTAAGGCTTAGGAATAAAAGGCTTTTTTCCTGACACCCCCCCCCCAGCAGGTTCTGCAAACAACAGTGGAGTATCTTTGCCTTTGACCATGTTAGTAGGTAGCTGCCAGTTAAGAGACTGTTCGCTGCCCAGTATCTATTAATGCTGAGTTCAGGTTGTCCAGCAGAGCTCAGACCTTACCAGGATGCAGAATGACAGTAAAGGTAAGTCTCTGACAAACAAGAAACACAGTCCTTGTGTCTGCTCATTATGGGCTCCTCTGGCTGCACTATACCAACAGTGGCTACTGCTAGCTTTAGGGGTAGGAAAGTTAAGTTTCAGAACAGGGCCTGGCAGCCTTAGAAAAGCACAGGGAAGTTTATGGCAATATGCATAAGCACATGGATGTTAGTACTCTTAGAACAATTGGCTGTTTGTAGTAAGTCAGTCTGGACCTGAGGTTAATGGCACCACTATAGTGTTTTGTCATCTAGTAAGCCCTTGGTTGGCTTCTACTATTCTTGTTTTCCTTGTTTTCCATTCTTTAATCACTAGACCCTCCCTCTTTTCTGAAACAAATCTGGGCACCTTCTCTGTTGGATAACCTTCTCCTGGCATTGTAAACCTGTGCCAGCAAGTGACTCACCTGATCCTTCTGTGTGTATGAAAGCCTCTCTTCTGTGTCTGTGCTTAATAGGTCATTGTGGAGAAGGTCTCAGGCTCTCAGATTGTTGACATTGACAAGAGGAAGTATCTGGTTCCTTCTGACATCACTGTGGCCCAGTTCATGTGGATCATCAGGAAGAGGATTCAGCTGCCATCTGAGAAAGCAATATTCCTCTTTGTAGACAAGACTGTCCCACAGTCCAGGTGAGAGGCTGTTCCACTGGAATTTCTGT